ATATATATAGTAGTATTATATATATATATGAGTAGTATTTTTAAAATTTTGTTGACTACAAGGCTACAAAGATTTATAATCAATTAAAAGAATTAATTAAAAAAATAGAATAAAAATAATTAAATTAGATTCAAATGATGCTTTAATATAAACGATAATCTTTAAATTTTGTTCCAAACCTTAACATCTTATGATTATGTGATTAGGGTTGCCAAAACTACTTTGTTCATGAAGAGCTCGTGTTCGGCTTGTTAAGCAAACAAGCCAAACATGAACACACTTTTTGAGATATAAATATAAACGAAACAAATACGAGCTGAGCTTAGATTCGCTCGTGTTCGGTTCGTTTAGACCTCTACATGGGAAGAACTAAAATTGTTAATCACCTGGATATTTAAAGAAAGGGACCATAAATACAAGGAATCACAAGGCACGTGACTTGTCATTCATTTTCTATCTTTCGAGCGCACCCAACATTGCAAGGCGAGCAGAAGACGCACCTTCTCGAGCTTGGCGGCCGAGTGGCGATTTGGTGAACCTGAAGTAATATTCGACGAAGTTTTAATGGAATATGCTTCGATATCAAATGCTTTTGTCGTCATCCCCCCTCCTCCGACCATCCTCTCTCCTCCTTCGTCTTCCGTCGAGCCTTCGCAGAGGAGGCTTCTTTCCCGTTTTCTTCCAATCTGGAGGCGTTTACTTTGGATTACTACTCAAGTTTGTTGGTACGAATTGAATCTCATTCATGTGATTGTATGTATGGCTGTTTTTGCATTCCCGATTTGTTATTTTTCCTAAAGAATTAGTTTCGATGATTAGTTGGTTTGTACTTTTTACTGTTTCATTCATTTCTGAATTAGTCATATTTAGATGTGTAAGATCGGGTTAGGAGAATGTCATGGACCTTAATGATGCGCTCTATTTCTGCTCTAATGTCGGTTTCGTTTCGCAGGGTTCGATATCGTCGCTGGTTAATGCTCTCGATTTTGCCGGGTTTGGGCCTAGCTTTGCAGATAGAGTTATCTGCTGAATTGAGTAGGATTTGAAAAGATGAATGCCGTGGGGAAGCTTGGAAGCTACATCAGCCGAGGCGTCTACACTGTCTCCGGTCCTTTCCACCCGTTTGGCGGGGCTGTCGACATTATTGTGGTCCAGCAGCCGGATGGGAGCTTCAAATCCTCTCCGTGGTACATTCGGTTTGGAAAATTCCAAGGAGTCTTGAAAACGAAGGAAAAGATCGTCATCATTTCTGTCAATGGAGTGGAAGCTGGATTCCACATGCACTTGGATCACAAGGGTGAAGCCCACTTCCTGAAGGACCCTGACACCGAAGAAGGGCAGGATGCCATTTTGCCGCAAGCTTCAGGAGGTGAGAGGGAGGAGAGATTGGGGGACACTGTAGAAGGGGAGGTTGCCATTTTGCCACAAACTTCAGGCAGTGAGAGGGAGGAAGGATTGAGGGTGACCGAAGGAGGGGAAGTTGTGATTTCAACACAATCTTCAGGTTGCGAGAGGGAGGAAATATTGGGGGATGCTCAGTTTACGAATACTCAAAGCTGTAAGTATGATGGAGACAGGAGGGATTCGGTTTCTTCTAATTGTGCTCAAAATGTGAAGATTCTTACCAGGACGACTTCACGTAGGTCTGGGATTCTTGGGCTTTTGTTTGGCCGAAGATCTATGAAAGAAAATGCGCTGAATGGGGGTGTTGATCGAGTGAATTCGTTGGAGCGAGCAGAAATTGCTGCTGACCTTTTAGAATTGAAGTGGTCAACCAATCTCCTGGACAGTAATGGTTCTCGGAAGAAGCCTACTGAGAAGAAAGATTTTTTTCCGAAGAAGTCAGCTGGTGAGAAAGAAGGAAATCAACAACTATATCCTTATGATGTTGAGCAGGATTGTGATGGGAAGGCGAATTACTCTGTTGGAGGTTTAGTTGATAATTTTGGAACAAGCATTGTTGAAAGAGAGCATTTTGAAGAAAGAACCAGTTGTCATTCAATGCATGTAACAGAAGAAGAAATGGCCATTGAAATGAGCTATAGAAAGGAGCAAACCACATTACGAACTGTTTCTATTAATCAGATACCACAGGAATCAACTAAGAACTACCCTGATAGTTTATGCACCAGATTTAGCACTTGTAATCACGATTCACGTCATAATCCTGATAGAAGTTTGGCAACAGACGTGCTTTTTGAAGAAAAAAGTACTTCTGCTTCTGGGTTAAGTAGCCATGTGGAGGCTGCAGAGCTTTACACTGTGGAAACAGTTGGTTCAGCTGAGAGTAACGAATCAACCTCAAACATGTTGGATGTAGAAGGCTGTGAAGTAAATGTTTTATCAAAGAATCCAAAGCTTGGGTATGCTAGTTTTGATGTTCAAAGTTCTGATGCTCCTGCAATTTCTCATGATACGTTACAGGAATTGAATGACACTTTTGAGGCTTCAGCATTTAGTGTATCCTCTAATGGAAGTGGAGAACAGGAAGGCACATGCTGTAATGCTTTTGAAAACTCGCCTGTTAGTTATGACATTTCCTCCAAACAAACTTCTAGAACACCCCACCTGAGTATTTCTCCCATTTCTTGTGCGGGCCATGAATTAAAAGAGGATTCTGAAGTTCTGGATAATGTAAGTTCTGTATGCCTCAAAAAAAGCTTTGAGTTGGCTGATTCAGTTTCTATTGATGCTCAGACCGAGGCTTTGGTTAGTGGAGCATTTCTAAGTGGGGACGGGGAAGTTCCTACTGAATTTCACTCTCACGGAAATGCAGGTTCATTTAATTCTGACTCTGGAACTAGCTGCCAGGATGTGGTTATTTTGAAACACAATCAACCGATAGACAAAAATACATTTAACTGTAGTTTTCCTGATGCTCAGGAGAAAGACATATGCTTGCATCCTTGCTCCAATGGTTTGCTGTTGTCTGACCAGAAAACTTGCTCTGATGGTGAATCTAAGCCGTATTGCATTGTTAATTTTCATGATTATCTTAATGAGTCTTCTCAAATTAACAAAATGAGCTTTGAAACTAATGGAGTGAAAAGCTCTTGTTTGTCCGATATGCTCAACAGTTTTCAAGATTCTGATGCCAGTTCTAGAGCAATAGCAGTGGAAGACAAAGTAAAATCATCTGACAGCTCGGAGGAAGAGCAGTTTCTATTTAGTGATTTAGATAGTTTTGTTCTCAACGAAAACAAGGACGGGGTATCATTCAGAGCCGTTGATGAAAAGGATAACCCACACCTTCTCTATGCTGAATGTGAAGTTGTAGAGGGGCAAACTTTGAAAGATGTAAGCAATAAAGAATTATCTGAAGGTTTAATAGATGAGTCGGTAATTCAAACTAGTCCCATGACAATTCCCAAGAATAAATCTTCTCCGAAAGATTCTTTAATTTCTTCAATATCATTGCCTGCTATTCGTTCCTCCATTCATGATCCTGAAAGATCCAATAAACAACAGCCGTTGAGCAGCTCATTAAATGCAATCTTTGAGAAAACCAAGGGTGATTTATCGAGTTTGAAGTGTTCAAGCTCCTTAGACATGGAATATGGTTATCAAAATAAGGTGGTGCAAGACTACTGCTCGTATGAAGCTGTTGCCTCAGCATTAGATTCGAAAAATGACCATGCACTAAAGAGCATTGCAATCCATCCTGTTGTGGGTACGCAGATTTCATTTTCAGTGCAAATGATATATATTGTTTTAAACTTCCTTGATCCATGGAAAATGCATCAAGTGTTTTACACAGCCTTCCTCCGTATTCAGTTATGTTTATTGAAGGTCTATGTTGATTTTTGCTATGTATTTGAGAGTTAATGCTGTTCATTTGCCTTTACTAACTGTATTCTTTTGTAGTACTGTCAATAACTCAGGCTCATTTATGTTGCATGTGTTCTCCAGAGCTATCTCTTTGTCGCCACTTGCTATATGAAGGAATGGGATTGGGTGTAGCTTCTCAAGCATTCGAATCCGAAAAGGTTACCAGGGAGAAATTTCATTCTTTGGGCCCGGCACTACTAAAGAATGATAAACTAGTAGCTAGAATAGGTGGCCATTATCTTCCATGGAATTCAGCTGCCCCCATTGTTTTGCAAATTATGTTTGGCCAGGAACCTATATTTGAAACTCAAGATGTGATTTTGGCTGAATGTGTAAAGAAAAATGGCGAGGAGGACGCATCTTTAACGAGCGTTTTATCTGAGGGGAGCTGGAACCTTTGGCCATTTGGTTTCAGGAGATCAAAATCCATAAAATTTGTGCAGTCAAACCATGATTACATCAATCAAGTGAAGCCTGTTGCTGCTTCCATGACCATGAAAAGCCTGAACGGAGACAATGATATCGCTCAGAAATCCAAGAATATTAAGAAGAAAGTCCGATGGCTCACTCCAAGTTCTGAAGAGCTTACTTCCTTGAATCTTAAAGAAGGACCAAATATAGTCACCTTTAGCTTCTCAACTGCAATGCTTGGACGACAGCAGGTCAAGTTTTTGAAAGGGCTTCCTCTTGCACCATTCCTTCAATTTTTTCCAATTTTCACAAATCATGCTCGTGCCTGCTCAAATTTAGTTTTTAATCAGGTCGATGCTAGGATCTACCTATGGAAATGGAATACTCAAATAGTTATCTCAGATGTTGATGGAACTATTACTAGGTAAGTGACATACTCCCTGTGAATGAGCATTAAGCTGGCAGTTTTTAACTCCTATTATTGTTATTATTATTGAAAAGAAGAGGTGGTTAGAAAACTTTTTTTATTCTCTAAAACTTATATTTGCATATAAAACTCATTAGACAATAATTGAAAATTACTAATCACACTCAATTTAAAGTATTTGTCCAAAAGTTCCTATTTTGGACGGTGGAGGAAAGAGCAATCCGTGACACTCCTCTTTCCATGTTAAGCGTATAAATTCATGGCACTCTTTTCATATTAGGCACTTTATTTTTCTTATTTACCATATTGTATCTATGACTAATTTCAAGCCTTATTTAGCAATTCTAATCTTTCAAGCATTCCCTTATAATGGATGATAAAGATTTACAATTCCAAATTTGCTTAAGATATTTTTTAATATAGTTAAGCCCTTTGCTGAACATATTAGTGAGTTGACTTCTTGTTGGAATATGCGGAGTATAAATTAACCCCATGTTCTTGTTTCTCTTTTATAAAATGCCTATCTACCTCAATTTGTTTGATTCAAACATATTATATTTAATTATGGGCAATATTGATGACAGACTTATTATCATAGTATATCCTTATAGGTTATTTTCATTTTATTTCAAAATCTTCTAATATAATTTTAATATGTAGAAATTCATAGATTTCTTGAGTAATTATTTTGAATTTTGATTCGTCATTTGACCTTAAGATAACAAGTTATTATTTGCTTTTCTATACTAATGTATTTCCTCTCAATAGTGTGCAATATTCTAAAGGCGATTTTCTATTCATTGGTGATCTCACATATTCAGCTTAATTATAACCTTTAATTTTTTGGGTTTCATATTTTTCTTATATTGATAATCCCTTTTTCAATATTTGATTTTAACAATCTGAGAGTTCTATAAGCAACTTAAAGATGATAATATTTTAATTTGTACATAATTGAATTTTAAGACTTATAAAAAAACAATGGCAAGACATGTATGAAATAGAGAGTATTTTTAAACCAATCTTTAATATTATTTAATGCTAACTTCTATTTTATTTTCATTTATATCCAGTTTCTGACCTAATTTAGTTGGATTTTTAATTTACTTGCAATTAATTACTTTTGTTTCTCTCGAAAAAGTCATAACATAATTCTGTTAAGAGATAATAATTCTTTCTTTTTAAGTGGGCCACTTCTTTCCCCATGAAGTATTTGAGGTTGATAAATTCTTTGATTTCAAATACTATAGTATGCTTTTTTAGTAATTTCACTCTTTATTTTTATAATCTATAATAATTACATCATCAATATGCACATTATGTATTAATTTTTCTTCATTAGTACTATATTTTATTAAAATTGTATGATCTCCTTTGCTTTGTTTATATCTCTCCATAAATGGCCTTTAAAAATTTGTTAAATCATGCTCTTGGGGGTTACTTAAAATTATATAGTGTTTTTTTATATGTATTCCTCAACTTTTTTGAAAGAGTTATTGAATCTTGGTGGGGGATCCATGTTAGTTAATTTTTTTTTCAATATCCTCACATAAAAATGCATTTTTTACATCAAATTACATGGACCATTCAAAGTTAATAAACAAAAAAAAAAAGTTGCGAATTGTATTCATTCTAAAAGCAATTATTTCTGGATAGTCCATTACATAAGATTCATTGCAACATTTTGTTAATAACTGTTGGAATAGAACCAATATACTTCTTATTGATACAAAGAGGGGCATATATACCCATTAGGATCAACTATAAATGAAAAAATTAAACTCAGGATATAATAGAAAGCGAAAAAGATAAAACTGAATATAATAAAAAAAAGGAAGGAAATCAAAGAAAATAACTCAGAATAATCATAAATAAATAATGGCTATTGCTAGCCATTAAAATATTCTAATACAACTCCTCAAGTTGAAGCATAGATGTGAGATGCTCAACTTGGACTTGAAATCATTGAATAGTAGCTGATGAAGGTTCTTGGTAAGGATATCAGTCAATTGGCTACTGGATGACACAAACAAAACACAAATTTTCCCGGACTTGAGTTTTTCTTTAATGAAGTGTCGGTCAATCTCAATGTGCTTGGTGCGATTATGTTGTACCGAATTGTGAGCAATACTAGTGAATGCCTTGTTATCACAAAGCAACTGTAGGGTAACGGAGACTGGCATACGCAGTTCTCGGAGCATGATGCGTAACTAGAGAGCCTCACAAATTCCTTGTGACATGAATAGAAATTCTACTTCAACACTTCTACTGGCAACCATTGACTGTTTTTGCTTTTTCATGTGACCAGATTTTCTCACACATATGAGCAGCACCCCGAGGTAGATTGCCCATTATGGACGGATCCGACCCAATCAACATTTGTGAAAACAACAATATTGCGAGAGGTGTGATGGGAAAACTACAAACTTTAGTGCGGTGTGCCTTTTAAATAATGAAGAATCAGGTGGACAACTTGGAGATGATGCTCATAAGGGTCATGTAGGAATTGAATTACTATCCCAACTACGTGACATATGCCCGGGCGTGTTTGGGCAAGGTATATGAGTTTCCTCACAAGACGCTGGTAGCGAGTCTTGTTTTTAGGAACTGTCTTGGGACATCAAGAAGCTTTTCATTTGGATCCATCGGGATAAATACTGGTTTGCACAGAAGCAGATTGTTCTCCGTCAAAAGGTCAATGACAAATTTCCGTTGAGACAAAGAAATGTCTTTAGATGACCGAACAACTTCCATGCCTAAGTACCAGAGAGATCCCAAACCCTTCATCTCAAAGGAGGCAGCAAGAACGTCTTTCATAGATTCCAATGCTAGTAGATCATTCCCTGTGAGAACAATATAATCAATGCAAACGATAGGGATAGTTACTTAGTTGCTAGAGAAATGCTGGAAGAAGAGTGTGTGGTCTAATTGAGCCTGAGTAAATTCATGACCTACCACCACCACCTTTGTGAACTTCTCGAACCATGCTCGTGATGATTGCTTCAGTTCATAGAGAGACTTTCACAGTCTACATATTTGCCTCTAAGAGGTAGTGGAGTCAGTCAAAGTCTGGAGGAATGACCATGTAAATCTTTTCTGTAAGATCACCGTTCAGGAATGCATTCTTGACATCAAGCTCGAATCAGGGCCAATTCAGATTTACCGTCGGGTATAAGAGAACTCAAATGGTGTTTAATTTAGCCACTTGAGCAAATGCCTTCTCGTAGTTAATTCTGTAGGTCTGTGAGTACCCATTGTGAGTACCCATTGACGACCAACCGTGCCTTGTTGCGTTCAAAGGATCTATCAGATTTAAAATTGATCCTAAAAATTCACTGGCATCCCACTGTTTTTTTACTCTGAGGAAGATCAACAATATTCCAAGTATGGTTTCAATTAAGGACATTCATCTCCTCCATGATGGCAGCTTTCCAGGCTGGGTCTGCTAAAACAGCCTCAATAATAGATGGACGTTGATGGTTTGTTAGGGTTGTAGCAAATGCTCTGTAGCATGGCGATAATCTGCGATAGGAGACTTACTTTGCCACAGGATAAAGAGCATGTCTGATTGCGTACCTTACTAGAGGAGCTGATTTCCTCATTTTGAGTTGGGGCAGTGCTGGGGATGTCGTCCGGAGGGGATTTAGGGTCCAACACGGGGCTAGCGAGTTCTTGAGTAGGTGCATCAAAATAAGTGCATCGAGTGTAGATACAGAGAGTGGGAGGGTGTGCAGGTGGAATCAAAGGGACAAATGACTCTTTCGTGATAGAAGAGAATGGTGGAACAAAAGGAACCAAAGGTTCCTCGATGGTAGGTAACATGGGGGGAACATCCACAGGAGTAGGGTAAGGAACAATATCCAAGAACTCTAGCTCCCCCTCACTTGAGGCCGAGTTGGGAAATTAGAAAACACATTAAAAAAAGGAGATATTAGCACTCATATTGACCTTATTTGTGGTAGGTTCAAGACACCGATACTCATTTTGAGTGACATAGTATCCTAGAAAAACACATTTTCTAGACTTGGGATCAAGTATACTCCGAGTTGGGGCTGTGTTCCAAACAAAGACCGCACACCCAAAAATTTTAGGGGCTAGAGTGGAGAAGACCCGATTGTTAGGAAAGATCGATTTCAAGACGAATAAAGGGCTACAAAAGTTGTGAATTTTTTAGGGGACTCTATTTATGAGAAAAGTGGCGGTAAGAATGACATCATTCCAGAACCGTTTTGGGACATTGAAGTTAAACATAATGGAGCGAGTAACATTGAGGAGATGTTGGTTTTTTTTTCTCGGTTACTTCATTTTGTTGAGCAGTGTCGGGACAAGTGCTATATGGAGGATGTAATTACTTACCAAGAATTCTCCTAATATAGAGTTAAAAATTTGACAAATATTGTCAGTCCGAAGGACTTGAATAAGAGTTTTGAATTGGATCAAAATGAAGATGTGGAATTTGAAAGTGACAACAGCTTCAGATTTATCTTTTAAAATATAGATCCATGTCATTTGAGTGTGGTCATCAATCAAAGTAAGAAACCATCGTTTATTGGTGTAGCTAGGGGTGCGAGAGGCCCTCCATAAGTTATTTTGAATAAGAGAGAAATGAGTTGAAAGTGTGTAACTGTGGGATAGATAAGAGAAACGATAATGTTTAGCTAACTAACAAGTTTTACTTTTGAAATTAGAAATATTTTTATTAGTAAACATCAATGAATACAATTACTTTAGACACTGGAGGCTAGGATGACCCAAACGACAATGTAACAACATAATAAAAAAATCAGTGGGCTGAGATAAACTGCAACTATTAGGCGGAGTGTCCTCATTTTTTCATGCTTTTCTCTTAGAATAAGTAGAGCCTGCCAACCAACTTAGTAGTTCCAATCATTTTCTCCGAACAACAATCTTGAAAGACACATACATCAGAGGAAAAATAAGCAATGCAATCAGTGTCATATGTCAGCTTACTGACATATAAAATGTATTTCAGCAGAGGTACATGTAACACATATTTCAGAGTTAGGTCTGTTGTTAAAAAAACATATTTTTTACCAACAATAGAACTTTGAGACCTGTCAGCAATTTTAACAGTATCTTTCCTTGAACAAGGATAGTATGTTGAGAAGGCTTGAGATCTTCCAGTCATGTGATTCGTGGCACCTTAATCAATGATCCATAGGAAGTGAGTGTCATAGGATTGATACCTTGACGAATGGGGAGGTTGACGGGCCGAAAGAGAGCGGGTTGGATCCAAGCATCTTGATTAGTTGCTCCATTTGACTCTTAAGAGAATTGGAGAATTCTGGATTGTTCTGGGTAGAGAGAATTCTGGATTGTTCTGGGTTGGGTAGAGGCCATCTGTACCGTGTTGGGTTCAAATGCCGTGGTGAGTCCCTCGGCAGCGGAATATTTGGTTGAAGGTTTGGATGTATGTTTCCCGTGGAGCCTCCAACACTTCTCAAGAGTGTTGTTGGGCTTGTGACAATAATCACACGTGTGGTGACCAGCCTGAGGTTGAGCACTATTAGAAACCACGGCGGATGCTTCGAAGCATGACAAGTCTTTAGCTCTCTTCGTGGCGAATCTCAGTGAAAACAACACGAGTAGAAGGAAGAGGATCCCGACCAAGAATACATCCCCGGACTTCTTCAAGGTCTTTGCTGAGGCCGGCTAGAAATTGAAACATGGGGTCTTTTTCTACAATTTTATGGAAGAGAGATAGGTCGGCTGGAGATTCTCACCTGTAGTCATAATATATGTCTCATTCCATCCACTTAGGCCATTGTAGTACGGGGTCAAGCTATTGGATCCTTGTTTTGCTTCACGAATTTTCTTTGACACCTCATAGAGTTGGTTGAAGTTCTTTACATCTACGTAGGTATCATGAACTGCTATCTAGATGGCACTAGCGGAAGGAGTGAACGTATATGATCGGCCAATCGAAGTCTCAATGGAGTTGATCATCCACGCTATGACCATGGAATTCTCCACTTCTCAAGCTCCATATGAGGGTCAGTCTTTGGAGGTTCACGTATCATGCCAGTGAGATGACCGAATTTCTCTTGTCCTTGGATGAACAAGGGCTCAGATTGAGACCTTTAGAGAAGGTTTCTGCCCTTTAGTTTATGGGTTGTGATCAAGTAGTTCATGTTGTTTTCCCGTCCTTCGGTTGCAGAGGAGCGGAGGTTGGAATTGATCCGTCAGTGGACTCAAGAACACCTTTTGATGATGGTTCATTGCTGGAGAAGTCCTCCATGATTCAGACTAGCCAAATGAAATGTTGGGTTGAAGAGACATTGATTGGTTCAGGTAGAGTTATGACTGTCCTGTCCTCGGGTAGAAGATCTAGCTGACCTAAATCCTCAGCCGGCTGGAAAACATGCATAAGCGGGCAGAAAAGAGAGATTATGGAGTGTCTGGAGGAAGACCAGGCTCTTAGGCAAGAGTTCCGGTGGCTAAGAGGAAACTAACTGGCGTTGAGCGACTTGATTGGAGGTTATGGATCATCGTTCGATGGCTGGGGAGAGGAAAGTGGGATCTAGACGGCCAAATTGGCGATTCTGGAGCATCATCCACCTGCGCATCATCCGGAATGCTTCAGAAGAGAAAAGCTGGTGCCAGGAGTTGCCAACTTACTAGGGCTAGCTTGGAAACAAAAACTGGATAGACCAGCCGATGGCAAAGAGAGGCTCGACTGCTACGTTAGGATTGTGGCTCGGATACCATGTTGGAATTGAACCAAAATGCTTCTTATTAATACAAAGAGGGGTATATATACCTATTATAGGATCAACTAGAAAGGAAAAAAATTAAACTCAGAATATAATAGAGTGGAAAGAGATAAAATTGAATATAAGAGATAAAAGAAGGAAATTAAAGGAAATAACTCAGAATAATCAGAAATAAATAATGGCTATTACTACCCATTAAACAATTCTAATAATAACATTGCTTTATATCATTCCAGGCTTTCTCCTACTTTTTATTTTAATTAGAAAACCCACTTCAATTCTATAATTTTGCTCCCTTTTAGCAAGATCTATCAGTTGTGCTTTTATTTTCAGAGTATTCATCTCTTCTCTCATGGCATTATTCCAATTCTTATTTTCTAATACTCTAAATAGGATTTATGGTATCCTAATGGTGCTAAGTTGATAATAACTAGAAAGACTTGGTTGTACAAGATTAAATTAAAAAAAAAATTTGCTAGTTTATGGAATACAGAGGAGAGAGAATGTGCAATAATATGTTGCTTATTGTTTCAAATCATGATTTTGTTGGAGACTTTGTTTGAGCTTTGTCTTGTATGGACTTAAAAAGGTCTAGTGATAGGGGTACTATGTTATCCTTGTATTTTTGTAGCTGGGATTTCAGACGAGAAGATATTAATTTTCTCAAACTATTCCTTTTTTTATTGTTTTTCTCTTGAAGACAAATTTGATTGAAGAATTTTTTTTCTTAATCTAAAATGACATATTTTGAAGTGACGAGTTTGGTGGTGGTTGATGATAACATTTATACATTTTTGAGTGAATGTTTATAAAAAGAAACTTAAGTGCCTTTGAATCAATTTTATCTCAATATTGTTTGTGGATCCGAACTAATGACATATAACCATTTTTTCTTTTTTTTGAGAAAGTTTTTGAGATACAATTATTTGTGAAAGGCCGAACTTCGAAACATCCTACATGGCTTTTTCCTTTATTTTTTATTTCCTTTGCATGATAGTGCCCATGAAATTAATCTTTCAAGTGGATGAACTTACATCAGTCATTGTTATGGTTACCATATGATATTGTAATTTCTACTTGCTAAAATATTCTTTACTCATCATAAAGCTACATCCTAAATCATATGCACTTATTTTCTTGGAGCAACATAGAGGATGCCTAGGCTCGTTTGGTACTACTATTGCTTTTTTTGAAGATGTTTATAAAGCTGATGCGGAGAAAATAATTTTTTAAGAAGTTCTCATGGATATTATAAATATATTTTTTTGAAGTCAAATAACAATATTTTTACAACCACCACACATTGGTAAATCTTGTAAAATAAAACTTCTTGCCACAAAAAGTTTAGGATAATATTAAGAAAGTAATAGCCAAATTGAAGCACATCAATTGCCTGAAAAGTAAAGTAGTGAAATTGCTTCTCCAAAGAGACCCTTAGGGCTCATTTGGCATCATTGTTGTTTCTTTTTTTTTATTATTTTTTCTTTTATTTTTAAAAGTATGTTTGGTTGGTATAATTTTTATTTGTTTTTGTTTTTTATTTTAAAAAATAAATCAACTCATTTTTAAAAACATTCAAAACGCTAAAATATATTTTGAGTATTTTTAAAAATATCTAGCTCAATCAAACATACTTTAATTCAAATCAAAACATGAACAAAACAATAATAAAAACATAAAATGAAAAACAAAAAGCAAAAATTTTTACAAACAGCCCCTTAGTTATAGGGATAGAAAATGAAATTTAAACATGCTATTTAGACATGCTTTTAAATTAAGAACATGCTTGTCCATGAAGCATGTTTTTGCACATACGTAGACATTCATCACATAAAAAAAATTGCTTAGACATGCAAATTTAGAGATACTTGTCTGAATCCTTTCTGGATTTTTGAAGCAATTAATTAATATCTGTCTATCAAGCTAGCTGCGCTTGCCAGTGACTTTAAACTTGTAGATCTAGCTTGTATTTAGCATTCCAAAATTTGAAATCCTTATTACGTCAGCAGAAACATGTACTTCTGGATGTAAAGGAACATCTTTACCAACGTTATTTTACCAGTTCAACATATGTTGTTAGTCCATGGCCATTTGAAACAAATGGATAACTCACAAGTGTAACATACTTCCCTAAATATTTTTTCTGCAGATCGGATGTTCTTGGGCAGTTCATGCCTCTTGTCGGTGTAGATTGGTCACAGACTGGTGTTGCACATTTATTTTCTGCTATTAAGGTATGTCATAATTTTGCACAATTTTCTTGCTGCTCTTATGAGTGCTTTTTCTAGCATCAACTATCCTGACATCGCGCAATTTGAAGAGCAAGTTGTGCACTTATTATTATTTTTTTTAATTTTTGAGCCTCTCTAGATGCATTAGGTTTTTTATTTTTATTCATCAACATTAACAATTTCAAAAGTCAAGTCATTGTTATTCATGATTTTTGCTTATTTTTTAAAGTACAAATTTTATGGAATGATTATTAGAACTATATAGCATTCCATCGAAGTTTGCTAAAAGTGAGCCTGACAACATTTTTCTATTTTATAATTTCAGTTTATTTCCACCGTTTTAATTAATATTGTAGGCTGAAATAGCTAATTATTGCAAGGAAATCACCCAAGAGGTTCTAAGAGTGTTTAGAGAGAAATGTTTGCAAATAAGGAGGCTTGTGTTGCAATGAAGTTACTACTAGTGATGGAGTGAGGAGATACAATGGTGGTTAAAGAAAATGTAATTTCAAGTAGCTGCAAAAGTGAATAAAAGAGCTAATACATACATGGATTCTAGAAGAATCATAAAGATGGTAAACTTAGTCAGAATTACAAAGTTTGATGATTTATGTTGCATACTTGTTACTAAAATAGAATAAAATATGGTGTGCCAGATACTAAGAATGGAGAGAGTTAGGCATATAAAATGTTTGAACTTATTTATTTACTAATTTGAACAAACTCGATCGAGTATTAATTGAGCCGAGTTCAAGTTGTTCATCACGTGCATTGGTTTATTTATAACTCTAGTGATCCTAAATAATCTATGTTTGTATAGCATTATATTATTATTGTTCTTTTTTCCTATAGAATATCTGCTTTTCAGTGCTTAAATTAAAATACTTAAGAATCTTGTTAGTAATGAGGATATTAGATTCTTTGAGCCCGTGCTTGAATTGACTTGTTAATCCCATAAGAAATGTTATATCAGGTGGAATTTGTGACGAATACATCAATCCTTGAAGTTTTCTTTGGTATTGATCTTTATCAACTTCCATCCCATCTTTGTTAACATTAAGTTTCTGACTTGGTTCTATTAGGGATTCATATGGAAAATCTTTTATATTTATTTATCTCAATAAATTTAGAATATATTTTTATTAAAAAATAAATATTCTTTTCTCAAATTGTGCAACTTGTATGTCATAAAAATAGTTTAATTTATTAAGCTTCTTATCTCAAATTGTACAATGAATTTTGGTTTGAGGGTTATTTTTCGTTTTTATTTCTTGCATAGTTATATCAACGATCTAAACAATAAGGGTTGCATACCCCTTATTTGTAGAGTGTTTTACGAAGAGTTTATTATCACCGTAGCTTTGTTGGTATCTTATTTTAAGCATTTGTTTTAATGAATCGGTCAAGCAAAGCCTTTGGTAGTTCCTTTAAGCCATACAGAGCATTCATTAATTTGAATATTTACTTATATTAAAAAAACAAGATTCACTGAATTTTGTTGGTGAGTCTATGTAAACTTCTTCATCATCACCATGTAAGATCATATTCTTTGCTTCTGACTGCTGCATAGTCCATTAATGATCAACAACAAAAAAAAAGATTCAGATGTTATTCATTTTTGCAGCTAAAGAAAATTTTTCTTTATTATCAATCCCATTGGTCTTGGTGCACCCTTTTGCTACTAGTATGTCTTTATACTCTTCTAGGCTTTCATTAACTTCATATTTAACTACAAACATGTATTTTCACCTTACATTTTTTTCTTTTTTGATAACTATCTCCAATGTGTTATTCATTTCTAGAGCGTTCATTTCCTCCTAATTTTTATATTCTAATGCATCAAATAGGGTCTGATGGATTTTTATAGTATTAATATTCAGGAGAAAAACTTTGTGTGGGAGGGAGGTTTTGAAAAGAATGTATTGAGTTAAGATATATAGAAGGTGTATAGTGCATTTTCTTACACTTTTTATTGTAATAATAAGCTGATCAAGATCAACGTTGTCAAAGAGGAAATCACTAACGGAGAAAAGGAGGTACATGGTATAATTATGCTTTTGAACTCCAAGAGTGATTGGGCATGGATTGCCCTTTTTTTTATGACTTGAAATCATGAGATACTTGAAGCATTGTTAGGAACTATTTTTGGGCCATAATTTGGATCTATAATGTTGAAAGTTTATTGATTTTGAGAGTAGTATATGGAGTATATAATGATAATATATTAAACTAATCATTCACATCTTGCTTTTAACCTTATCCCCATAAAGAGAAGTTTTATCAAAGAAGCATCATTTTCTAATAAATATGAAATGTTTCGAGACAGGCTCTCCTTGAGGTTGGATGATGATATATATAACATTTATAAGTGGGTTAGTATCCTAAGATCACTCCCTTAAGAGATGTTGAATTAAATTTACCTATATTCTTTTTGAACATGAACATATGAATTGATCTAAGTATATGCTTAGGATGATTTTTTGCAAAAAATCAATGAAATAATTTAATAAACTTTTGAAGGGCATTCTTGATTAAGTGAATGGAGGTTAAGACAACTTCTCGCTAATTTGTTTTTGTAATATTATTTTGAAAAGTAAAGCGAGGTTTCTTCAACAAGACATCTATTTTTCCTTTTTTGCTACCCCATGCTATTGAGGGCATTAAGACACAAAGATTGATGAATAATGCTTTCTTTTTTTTTTAAACAGGGATAAAGTTTATTTGAAATAATTCCTAATTTTATCAATTCTAACCCTTTAATGATAACTTTAAATTTGTATTTAATCATAGTGATAGTGGTAGGAAAAGTTTGAATCATGTTGTACTTTTAATTAAGGAGGTATACCTATGTCATTCTAGTAAAATTATCAATGACAATGATAAATTATTTAGCTTATGCGATATTTTTGGAATCCTTGATGAACCATAATTGTTATAGTGGATTATACAAAATCAAGTTGGTTATCTAGAATCACAAATGAACCTCTATGATGTTTTATAAGTTCTCAAGATTTGCAAGGAAAAGATTTTTCACTAATAGTTTTGAATAATGTAGGGAAACCTAAATGAAGATGATGATTTCAAATCACATCTTTATACCGAATAGATATGAAGGAAGAAATATGTGAGGGGATATTCCGAGCAATTTTGCTTTCTAGAGGGTACAATTCTTCCTTCTCCTTAGTTTACCAAACCATCTTCTTTTTAGCTTGGTCCTAAAAATACATTGTTCAACAAATAATATTACATAACAATTTTGAACTTTAGTGATTTTATGGATGGACAATAAATTTACAAGTAGATTAGAAACATGAAGTATATTTTGAAGGGTAATAGAAGTAAGAGTAGCTATAGTTCCTTTGCTTGTAGATGAGGTCAAAGAGCTCCCTTGATCTTTTATTTTTTATTGTTAGAGTATGGCTTGTAGGTATGAAAAAAGAAAGTAGAGTTGGTCATATTATCGATGACTCCGGAGTCTGTGACTTAGATATTAGAGTAAGGTTTGTTTGAGGTACTAAAACCACTAGATTAAGAGATTTTATCATTTTAAGCAATAAAACATAATCCAAATGGTTTTTTAAGTTTATTGCGGAAAATTTTCAGTCTTGTTAATCTCTTAAATGTTTTGTTTTGTTTTTTTTAATTTTATAATGCAAGGTTATTGATTGATTTGGAGTTTTTCATAATGTTTTCTTCAATCTTTCTTGGCATGTCTCTTATTTTTGAAATAGTCACATTACATTGTATCTTTCTAGTTAATTTTCCTTTCTATGATCACCATGGCCGACCCTTCTGTGCTTGGGGGTTCAAACATGATTATTCTTCTCTCCTCTCAACGCTTGCAACAGAGCACTTCATTGAGGGAGAATAATGCTTATCTTCTTAGTATCCAAATTTTCATTTGTTCAAACACATTGGTAAGGTCTGCATTTCACATCTTTTTTAAATATTGCCGCATCTTCACTATATTTTATCTTGAAATCTTGATAATAATCAAATTCCAATTGAAGGATGTTCATTAAATTGAAGTATTCAATGATTGAAAGTTTACTTTGTTTGGTTATTGATAATTTTGTCTTGATTTAATTCAGTGCAACAATTTTAACCTTTGAGTAGGCTTTGCTTCTTAGCCTTCAGACTTTTTTTGTACTTGACAGAGACATATAGGATCAACTTATTTAAAACATTATTGAGTACCTTGGAAGAAAATAATCAAATCTTCATCTCAACTTTGAGTCTTCAAAACTTTAAGGAGGTGAATCAATTTCTCCTTTCATTTTGAAAAATGTCTTTATTGTATGAGACTACATTAGATAGTTTCTTTCAGTTAGTAAGTTCGGAGATTCTGAAATTCCCCAGTGGTTGGAGTAGCTTGGCTTTCAGATTTCAGGTGAAAATTATCCCTTAAAGAGTAATTTCTAATTTCTAATTTGGGGAGAAGAAGGCAACAATAAAGAAAAGGGCAAGGTATGGGTTTTGGAAAAACTTTTCGGAATAGAACCCTAACTAAGCTCTGATATCAAATTTTATTCAGGTCAAGTCTTGATTTCATATTGCAAAAGGAATGAATATTTATACATGATGAAACTAATCTTTTTGAAACAATTCAAATTCTAATCATATAATTGTAGCACAAATAATTTACAAAGAAAAAACCTTCCTTCTCCCTTGAAATTCTACTAACGAAAGCATTGATCCAAGGCGTGCTTCTCTTCATATGTGAACCGATCCGTGGAAGCCCATTTTTCATGTGTGATACTTGATGTTTTTTTATTTCTGTTGTAATTAAAAGCAAGCGGTTTGCTTCCTGTTTCACCCCTTGAATCAACCATAGGTTTCCCCAGATTCCTGATGCTGCTATAATTATAATTGTCAAAAATGCATCCTTCCAAATCCATGCTGCTTGGAATTTCCATCGAAATTCTCCAGCAAGGACATCTATAGATCCTGATCTAGTATATTTCTAGTGAATATAACATGGTCATATTTGAAGTTAGAAATCGGCAAAAATATGCAAATGTTGTTTGAGAAATATTAAATTAGAATTTTAAAAATAAACTGCTCTACTGAAGTGGAAAGTTATCTTCTGTGCTATGAATTAATCCAAAATAGGAAGCCAAGGTGTATTTTAAGAAAAAATGATTTTTTTTTTAATCTTTTCGGTATGAATGGGAATTCACTCTTTTGATTCATGTCATAAAGGTTTGAGTGTTTTTGGGATGTGGTCCTTTATATTTTGATAAGACTTTTATATCGTGGCCTATATGTTTATGTGCCTGAAATGCTGTTTGTTTTTTCTCATGTTGCTGTCATTTCTCAATTATTGAAGCTGCTGCTAGTTTCATTCATTACCTTCTGTCTAATTACCTTCTTTCTGTTCACTGGCATCGAACATTAAATTACCATTGATGTAGGAAAATGGCTATCAATTGCTTTTTCTCAGTGCTCGAGCTATTTCTCAGGCTTATTCAACGAGGCAGTTCCTTTTCAATCTTAAACAGGTATCATTTGAAAAGTGAACCTTTCATATATCATTTCCATTTATTTTACATTAAAAAAGAGACATCTCTATTATTCTTTTTATGTTGTTAAGTAGGATTCATAGTCCACCTCAGTAGTGAATAAATTTGAGAAAAGTGTCAAAATGATCCCTCAACTAATGATCGCTCGACTCTTTACAGGGAATCATTTTTGTCCCAGAGTCTATAATAGGGCCAATTTAGTCCTTAGGGGGCTAAAATAGTCCATTTTTGGGCTATTTGAGCCCATACTATAAGGACTAATTTGACACTTTTATATGCTTTAAAACTAAAATGACCCCATGTAAATAGTCAAGGGACCATTTTAACCCTTTACTCGAAGGAATTTGTTCAACGTCTTTCCTTTTTACCTTTTTTTTTTCATTTTTTATAGTATGTTATACCCAGTACTATGATAGGGTATTTTACAATCCTAAAGTTCTCTACTTCTGCTTTTCAGGATGGGAAAGAGCTTCCGCATGGTCCAGTCGTCATATCCCCTGATGGTCTCTTCCCTTCACTTTATAGAGAAGGTAAATAATTTCTTCTGATCTCTCAGTTGTCGTTATCATCTATGCTATTCAGCTGTATGAGACCCTTCATGATTCATTTCTTGCTGGTAGTTTTTAGTGCTGAAAATATTTCATGCATTGCTTACTGAATTCCTGATTAAGGTTGCTCTTGTTTTTCCTGGCATCACTGTTTGGTGTCTTCTTCTTCTTTTTTTTAATGAACGTATGTTATGAAAGTTTAGTACTGCTAATAAGCTTCTTTTTTATCATTCTTGTAACACTAATAGGGGCATTATAACCAAGATTATGTTTTTTTAACTTTGAAATTTTGATCGCTGCTACCTTTGCTGAGTTTGATGTTTTTTTTTAACTAGTCATGAGAGTCAGTCTTCAAAGTATTGATCTATTTTTTACTTCGTTTTCTTTGCTGTTGTCATTGAATATGATATAAACTTTGAAGAAATGAGTTGGAAGGCTGAAGATTGCTTGCTTCAGCTCTACCACGAGATAAATATAAAATTTGTCAAATATTTATGTTGCTGTACCACACAATCGAAGAGATTTTTCTTAAAATATAGTTTTCCATCTGCTTATAGAAGAAAAACGCTTTTCGGTTATGTTTGAATTGGTAGTCCACATTACATTTTGCTCTCTCTGTTTCCCACTGGTACGTGGAAGATATATGGATGTATGGAGCTCTATTGGTAGGCATTGAACATTAAACCATTGTTTTTGTTGTTCTGTAATAGATAATGTATCTATACCAAAAGGCAAGTTTAATCTAAAACTACTTGGCTTTCTTGTAAAATAAATTTCACTTTATGGTTTGTAGTTATCCGAAGGGCTCCTCATGAGTTCAAGATTTCATGTCTTGAGGTGAGTTTACTTGTCAACTGAGTATTTTTGGTATTTGCATTTAGAAATCAAGTTACTGGTAGAAAGAAATCTGTTTCTATTATTTTCTTGAGGAAGATATCTGTATTGAATGTTTCTCTTTTACTACTTGCAAGTTCAGCGACTTTCATTATCTGACACAATTGTACTTTCTTCTTGCTCCATACCAATTTATCTAATGAAACTGATATGATAATAATTTTATAGATCTGGTGACAGCCTTAGTTGATGATCTCCTTGCTCTTTTTCTTTCTTGAATTGCTATGATTGTAGCATCTCTCTTTGAATTCTTCAACCTTTTAGATGTAAAATTTCAAAGAGAGGGAATGGGGTCGATGAATCTTTGTTGAAGTTTGAATTCGGAAAAAATTGCCTGGGGAAATAGCAAGGTAACTATTGGGGATCTCAGGATTGGGAAATTGTCCCATGAGAGAAAATCATGAGGGTTCTCAGGATTTAAGATAGTCAGAGAGAGTGAGAGAGAGCTAGAGGTGAGAGAGATATTTCAAGGATATTTTTTTTATTCAAATTTCATTTATAATGAGATAATTATTTTTATTTCAAATTCCTATTACAAGAAAATGATATGAATATGATCAGGATAATTAACGAAAATTATAGAGAAAGGAATAGTACATGAACAAGGTATGGTTGAAGTGAAAGGTTGAGCAACTAAATTCCTAGATACATGAAAACTAAGAAATGGCTCATTTGGATACTTGAAGTTTGATGATGATTTTTTTAAATTCCCATTACACCTGATATATAGAATTTACAAGTGAACTATCATTAAGGGATAAATTATATTTCATGTAAAATTTAAAATCTCATCGACAAACTTGAAAATCTCTTCACTTCAATAAAATTTTAGTTGCCCCCCCCCCCCCCCCGCACACATGCCACATGTAAAATTTTGAACCGAGGAGCTCTTGGTTGAAAAACAAGGCTCTCAATCCGTAAGCGAAGGTAACTTGCATGACTCTTAAAATTGAAGTAGCCCACACAAAAGTTTGAATATTTATGTCTTATGAAATATATTCTCGATCTGCTAAATGAGTCATGTATGGTGGGGTGCAAGCTCTCAAAATTTTCAGTCGACAATTACCACAAACTTACAAAGATAGAAGAGAGTGAGGCCATTAGCTGTCAATGACTACTTAGGAAGCTTATCTACCCTACCCACACAAGGCCAAATATAGCCTATGATGCGAGTGTTTTAAGTCATTTCATATATAATCCTAGAGAAACACATCTGTAAGCAGCATACAAAACTCTTCAAAACCTCAAAGTAACATTAAGAAAATGAATCTTATTCAAAAGAAAGTGATTTAGTTTAGAGGCATATACTAATACTTATCGGATTTGATTTACTGCAGGTTATCATACATTCTTCGGTGAGATTCTAATCTCTTGCAGAAAGTATAACCAACCAGTAGTCCATAGATCTAGCATTGGAGCCAAATTTCGGGCAATGAACCAAGGGACTGCGAACTATTATGGATCAAAATCATCTTGTATGACTTAGAAATAAAATATAAAGATACTATGAAGTTATACTATGACAACAAATCAAATATCAGTATTGCACACAATCTAGTGCAACATTATCAAACCAAACAAATAAAAATTGATGGACACTTAAGTAAAAAATAGAAAGTAGATTAATATGTATCACATATACTCAAACACACAAAAAGTTTGCTGACATCTTAGCCAAATTACTATCGAGAGCTCCACATTCTTGAATATCATCTCCAAATTAGGCATAAAAAATATCTACTCTAGCTTCAGATGTATTGGAATAAATAATGGCCAACTTGGTGATATGTAGAATTGCAGAGTTGGCTGCCCTTCTTACCATCCTTAATTGGTAATCCATGGGGCCCAATGGGCGGAAATTTCTTTCATACCTAGTAAAATAACTGTGTACAAGTTGTAAAATAACTTCCTTTGTATCTATTGTAATTAGTAGTTTTCATTTATAAAAACTATCAATTGTAATTTAGAATTTGACCGTATAAATAGAGGGGCAAGACCCTTTTAAAATATACTCAAAATTCAAGTTATGTCTCCTTCAATTTTTTTATTGATTATTATAAACTTAAAACAATTAATGTGAACCCATACCTATTAATATTCATGTATTCAAAATCTTCATTGTCATAATTTTTTATAAAAAAACTCATCAAAGGGTTTAGTGCTGTGATGGTTTCAATTATCAATTGTTTTAATAAAGAAGTATTTAAATGAATTGTCTCTTGCTTGCGCTTTTACTAAGTTTATTGAAAGACTTATAACCACATATACACTTAATTTACTTGAGCAAACATAAATAATTAACAAATAACACAAGAAAATATTATAGAAACTTTTTTCTTATATAATCATAAGACTTCTCCTCAAAAAGAAAAAAAGTAGGATAAAGCTGATTGTTATTTAAGCAGAGAAATTTAAAGGTTCTTGATAATAAAGAAATATAGAAGCAAATGCATGAGGATTGGTTGATATCTTCGACCCATCATATAGATAATTACAATTTCTTAAGTTAAAACTAAGCGATTAAAATAGAGAAGCATTTAAGGTTATATGATTACTTAAAACTGTGGAGATTAAAGGCAATTTTCTAAACAATAATAAGATCAATTATATTTCATGGATACAAGTTTTTGGGATGCAAAAGAATTGTAACAACCAAGTTAATCTTTGTAAAAATGATAATTATAGATGAATGTATAGTAAAATTAAGAAGGATAAAAGTGTGTAACTAGTCTATTGAGAAAAATACTTAGGAGATTGATAGCTTTAGTTTTAAATATTGGTATTCAAGTTGGAGTCTCACTAGAAATAATGTTGGTGTAATTATACATAAGAGTTTGAAAAATAATGTTGTTAAAATTAATAGAATTGGGGATAGAATTATAGCCTTAAAGATTGTTATTGATAGTAAGTTTTTTAATGTTATAAGTGCTTATGCTCCTCAAGTTGGTTTAGATATAAGTTCAAAAGAAAAAAATTGGAATGACATAGAAGAAATAATATAAATGGTACCTCTTGAAGAAAGAATTTTTATTGATGGAAATTTAAATTGACATATTGGTAGAGTGGTATAAGATTATAGAATATTCATGGTGGCTATGGTTTTGGAGTGATTAATGAAGAATGTAGAACCATATTAGATTTTGTTTTAGCTTATGATTTTGTTATTATAAATACTTTATTTAAGAAAAGAGATAAACATATTATTACTTATATGAATGAATTTAATTGAATGAATTTAATAAAACAATTTAATAAAACATAAATTGATTATTTTCTTGTGAGAAAAAGAGATTATCGAGAATGTAAAGACTATAAGGTGATTCCAAGTGAAAGCTTAAGTACTCAACATCGATTATTTATTCTGAATTTTAAGTTGAAGAGAGATAAAAAATACTAAGCATTATCATAGAATTAGATGGAAGTACCTAAATGACACAAATAAATTTTTTTTTTTATGAGTAAATTTCAAAATTTCAACATTTCAGATATTCATGAAAAAGCTAATTTTATGTGGGATAAAATAATGAGCACTATTAAACAAGTGGCGAAAGATAAACTAAGAGAATTGAAAAGAAAAAAAAATGGAAATAAAAATAGTTGGTGGAGTAATAATGTGCAATAAAGGATATAATATAAGAAGCTGTGTTATAAAAATTGATTTATATATTAAAAATTAGAGAACTAAGAAAAATATAAGGTGGCTTGTAGATAGTCTAAGAGAACAATTTGTGACGCTAAGAATTTTGCTTTTAGTGAACTTTATAATAAACTAGATACCGAAGAGAGTGAAAAATATATGTATAAACAACCAAATAAAGAGAAAAGAAAATTAAAGATTAATTAATTTAAAGTGTATTAAGGATGAAAATAGAAAGTGTTTTTCTTAGATGAAGATATTCAACATAGGTGGGTGAGCTATTTTAATATATTTTCAATGAAGTTTTTGAAATACGATCGATTTCAATGATTTTAATGTCGTTAATAATAATAAATTTTTTTTTTATCGTCGCATTAGTATAAAGGAAGTTGAGAAAGATTTCAAGAAAACCAAAGGTGAAAAATCAGTAAGACATGATGATATCCCTATTGAAGTGTGGAAATATCTAGGAGATTTGAGAGTTTCTTGGCTTACTAAACTCTTTAATATTATTTTAAAAACTAAAAAGATGCCTGATGGGTGGAGGAAGAATATTTTGATTCCCATGTTTGAGAATAAAGGGGATGCGTAAAAGTGTGTAAATTATAAAGGAATTAAATTAATGTGTCATACATTAAAATAATGGGAGAGGGTAATTGAACATTGGTTAAGACACGGTACAAAGATTTCTCATAATCGGTTTGGATTTATGCTGGCCAAGTCTACTATGGAAGTTATACATTTATTGAGAGGTTTGATGGAGAAGTACAGAGAGAGTAAGGAGGTTCTATATATGATTTTAATTGATTTAGAAAAAGCTTACTATCAAGTTCCAAGAGAAGTTCTAGAAAAGAAAGTTGTGGATATAACTTATATTTAGATCATTAAAGATTTGTATATTAGAGCTGTTACTTGTGTTTTATCGGAAGGAGGATTGACTAAGTATTTTTCTATTTCAGTTGGATTACATCAGGGGTCAGCCTTAAGCCCATATCTTTTTGCTTTAGTTATGGATGCGCTTACTGGACATGTATAGGAGGATGTACCTTGATTTGTCCTTTTCACTGATGATATCCTTCTTGTGGATAAGGCTAGAGAAGGAGTTAAAGAAAAAACTTGAATTATGAAGGTCTACATTGGAGTCTAAAGGCCTTCGTTTGAGTAGATCTAAAACTAAATATATGATTTTAGTTTTTAGTAGTAGTAGCTCTAGTGACAGAGTTGTAACTATGGGTGATCAAATGATTAAAATGTCCAAATATTTTAAATATCTTGGGTCTATTGTTCAAAGTGATGGTAGATGGGATGTTAGTAGTAAAATTCAGGTTGGTTGGTTGAAGGGGAGGAATGCATCATGCTTATTGTGTGATAGAAAAGTACCACTTAGACTTAAAAGGAAAAATTTATAAGATGATGGTGAGACCTGCAATGCTTTATGACCTAGAATGTTGGCCTTTAAAAGAGAAGCATAAAACAAAGTTAGGTGTTGCTGAGATGAGAATGCTTAGGTGGATGAGTGGCTTGACACTTAGAGAAAAAATGCAAAACGAATCTATTTATGAAGGGATAGTGTAGCTCTAGTTGCAGATAAGAGTAGAGAGAATCATTTTAAGATGATTTGGTCACACTAAACGTCGACCATCTGATGGTCCGGTTAGAAGAGTAGATGCTTATATTCAACTTATGTAAAGAAAGAGGTAGACCTAAAAAGATGGGCATGTTGTATAAAAAATGATCTCAATCTATTAGAATCAAATGAAAGTATGACACTCAATAGGACACAATGGAAAAAAAGAATTCATGTAGCCAATCCCACTTAGTGGGATAAAGGCTTGTTATTGTTGTTGTTGTAGTCTATTGAGAGAGTGGGTGTAGCATTTGTTGTAAAGGGATTTGAAAATAAACATGGATGATTTTGACTGCTTGGGGGCTTATAATGGAGATCTGAAGACACAGGAAAGAGAAGGAATAGGATAAAGACTACTTGCCAATAAATTAACAAAAAAAAAAGAACTCAAGTAAGCTGGAGTTAAGATTGTATCAGCAAACCAGGGAATGAAGCAGGTTGTTTGAAAGTTGACCCAAAATTTGTTAGGCTATGGCCAACGATGTTGGTGATTACTTAGTATGGAATAAACCTCTTATCTAATCACATTTTCTTACATCTGATTGGATTCATCCGTAAAAAGGAATAAATAACTTTTCAAGCTTCTTAATTTGATGGTTTAGTTGAATGTCTCTAAAGTTGATCTATAATAAAAATTTCTTCATGAGCCCCTAAGTTAATGATTTAGTTATTTAGTTATGAGGAACTCCATCTATTTTAATAATGAGGTAGCTTCGGTAGTTTAATGTGTGTTGTTGCGACTCAATTTTTTCCATCATTTGATCATGTTTTACTAAACTCTTTACAGAGGAAAAGTGTCAAATTGATCCCCTAATTCTTTCGAGGGACACATTTCAGAGTTTATAATAGTGTCAATTTAGTCCTTAGATTCTTTTAATATAGGTTGAAATAGTGCCCTCGGTGAGGTCTGTTTTTGCCCCCACTATAACAGTCTAAGGACTATTCTAATATTTCTATAAACTTTGGGACTAAAATGATCTCATTTAAATAGTCAAGGGACTATTCTGTTACTTTGCTCCGTTCTTACATATTCTATCGACTTATTCGTAAATTACTCTCTTATCTTTCTGCATTGATTGAAATTCTAAGGAGGAAGTTGCTTGAACAGCTATTCTATATGTTTCAGGCTATCAAGGCATTATTTCCGATAGACTGCAACCCCTTCTATGCTGGTTTTGGAAATAGAGACACTGACGAGTTTAGCTATCTGAAAGTTGGAATTCCTCGGGGAAAGATTTTCATCATTAATCCTAAGGTGAGTTTTTCCATGTTCCGACTCTGAATTTCACCAAATGCAACACCAAACAATCTATGTTTGTAAAATCAACCTCATTCCACACCCGTTTCCCTTTTTCGGATGGCCAGGGTGAAGTTGCAGTGAATCGCAGAGTTGACACAAAATCATATACTTCACTTCATGCTCTTGTAAATGACATGTTTCCGCCTATGTCCTCAAGGGAACAGGTGAAACTTATAACCTATATTATGGGCAACCAGATTGTCCTTTTCTTTTAAAAGAGCTTACTTTCACAAGCTTTCCTTAAATAAATGTTTAGGGTGGTTGATAGCTATCCTTACAGTATAAAACTTTCAAAAGTTTTCTTTTTAAATAAAATATAAAATTTGTCTCGTATGAACCTTTGTTTAGGAGGATTTTAATTCGTGGAACTTCTGGAAATTGCCTCTCCCGGAGATTGCTATTTGAGCTTCTGGTTAACCTGGGGACCAGTCAGAAAATGTGGAACCATTGTGATGAACATGCAAAAACACAATATGGACTTTTCCAAGGTACATTCTTCCTTTTAATATTATTTCTTTGAAGTTTGATTTTTTTTTTTTAAAATTTAAGGCTTAGCTTGGCAATCTTTTCGGCTGCTTTGAATTTTAAAAGTCTGATGTATTATAATTTCTATTTACGTGGAAAACATGTGATGAAATGGCTTTGTTGTACGTGCAGCTTCACTATGGCATCATGATCATAGATAACACGCATGCTAAGTTGCCTTTACATATTTGTGAGGGTGGCTGTGATTTTATTTCCTACCAAAAGTGTTTGCGTTGATGAAACAATACATTACCCCATAAATCCCGATTATTTGTACAGGTTTTGTGCTTCATCACCTAGGCTTTGTTTAGATTGAAGGGAAGTAGATGAAATGAATTGAAGACCCTAACTGCATGATACTACAACAGTTTGTTTCAGCTTTTCAAACCTTATTCTGTGTCCTTTCATCCAAGTTCCTAGCATTCAAGCACGGTCTTACGGCACAATACTTATGTGCTTTTTCTCACTTATTTTATCTCTAAAGGTCATGCTCTTTGAGACATATTTGTACGAAGTTTAAGAAAGAAAAATTGCGGATGATAGTTTAACGCCCTGTATTTAGGAAAAGAAAAATGAATGAACCAATATCAGTCAGGTCACTAGTTTAAAAGGAGACTGAGGGCAACATAACTTGTGTGAGCTGAGTAGAAAATCATGCAAGTGAGAGAAGGGGGCGTTGAAGGGGGGCGACTCACCTCGTGCAAAACCAAAAGCAAGAAGGGGGAGATGAGCATGATAAGTTCAACGATAGAAGGCAAGCCGGAGGGCTGTACTCGCCTTAGGGTGGCTGGGAAAACACAAGCAAGGCGATGGAATTGAAGAATAGTTAATGTGAGGAGCGGAAGGGTGAACTCGTGTGAATAGCAAGGAGTGAGCTCATGTGCCTACATAGGTGAGCAAGCTCGAGTAGACTGCAAACTCAAGCAGATCATTAGGTGAGTTTGTGTGCCAGGGGTGACGACAAAAGGGAAGGTGATTGTCAGGGGCGGAACCAACCTATGATTTGAGGGTGGGCAAATTTATTATATAATAATACAAATAAAATAATATTAAAAAATAAAATGAATAATTTATAATTCAAAAACATCTTAGATTTCATTGACACTTACGTAGAGGCGAAACCTGTATTTCTCCTTCATATTAGATTTTTAATATAGTTTGCATTGCCATAAACAAAATGATTTTTTTTGTTTGAAAATGTTAAGCACACGTACTTAGTTAATTAAAGTGTATGTCTTATGCGATTTATTTTACAATGTATTACCATCTAGCAACAATCTCACAAATCAAATTTATAAAATGATAATGACACTCTTGACCTTGTTTTTTCCACATACAATTCCTAGACTCATCTATGTGCCTCGTATGACAGTCATTTTTTGATCTTGATCATTATCGGCCTTGATAGCCATCAATGAAAGTCCAATCTATACGTTATTTGTGCGATCACACGTGAGTGTAGGTCCAGTCACCCTACGTCTCCTTGATTTATCTTTTAGCTTAGAATTTTATTCCACAGGTTGCATTATATTTTTCATCATGTTTGGAGATGCATGCATTGAGCATGAGTTGCCACATAGTATTTGGGTAATGCCTTTTATTAGGAGAGTGGTGGGGTTGTAGACGAACTGAGCATTTGAGAAGCTACTCTTTGCTCGGATCGGCTCGGCTCTATGTCGGTCGCCAAATTAGAAATTGTTCGTTGTCGGAATGGATATCCCGATGCCCGGTTTTAATTTAATTTATATATATATAATTTGGGAAAAGTATCATTTTTAAATTTTAAAAATATAAGACTGAATCGATCTCGTATCCTCAGTAGTTTAAATAAACGAGTATAACAGCGCAAGCAATGCATCTATCCCGAGGGTTAGGCACACTATTTACTGATGAGGTTCGATTAAATAAACTAAAGAATTTATGACATCCGTTTAAATCTGCGAAAAATCATTTTTTTATGTTAACTGACATGTTCTCCTATTTAATACGAAAAATTAAATAAAGTTTATATTAAACTGTATTCTTGAATGTTTCTTATAAGAGCAAACCCTTATAGTTAATTACATCTTAGATAATCTAAGTCACCTAAAAAAACTCTCGATAAAATTCATGGGACATTGTCTTCAAAGAGTTCAAAGGATAGGACTTTTCAACAGATCGGACAAAGAAGATGTGAAAGGGGAATGTCTCAAATTTGAGACATTTTGTTTTGGAATCTAAAGGAAGAAGAACTAGGGGATCTCATAGATCCTGAGGAGAACCTCGGTGACTTCTCAAACTATCATACTATTTAGTTTCAATTTCGAAAAAGAAAATTATTCAAATGTTTCATCTTGCCTTTTATTAGGCAAGACTTACATTTTTGCGAGACGGTCGCACAAATAGCCTAGAAGATATGAGGATTTAGGTCGTGACGATCGAGAACCTTGGAATCCTAAACGAGTTAGGGCTTAAGATTGCACAACATAGTTGTGCAAATGCCTAAAGAAAGAGTTGAGGATTTATGTCGCATTAGGCGGACAACCTCAGAGTCCTATTACTTTTTATTTAATTCTAAGGAGAAGATATACTGTTGTAGATCCTCATGCTGTCGCAGATTGCTGCCCACAGCTAGCTCCAAGCTTCTCGGCGAAGTAGCAGTCCTAAAGTCTAAGTCTTAAAATGTTAAATGACAAGTTTAAGTTCAATTATTATGGGGGGGTTAAAGTTGATTAGAGCGACACCGGCTAGGATCCCACAGTTCCCTCATTCCGACACTACTATTTTCTTCGTATTCACTTAGTCCCAAATGAATTTACTAAACTCAACTCAATAAGTTCCATACATGTATTTAAACTGTGGGAAATCTCGTTAGCTACCGTAGGTTATCTCCTCCGAGAGATTCCCGATCATCCGATAAAGACGTTTTAATTTAGTTGCAATTTTTGTTTTGTTATTTTGTTTGTGATTAAATTTTGAGTTGTCTTATATTTTGATTGTTGTGGCGGTAGATTTTATATTGTTTTGGATTTCTTAATTTTAGTTTTGGTTTCAGTTTTATGGCTATCATAAAATTTACAGTTTTGACATGCAGGGTAACCTTGTTCTTTAACATGCAAGTTTATAAGCAGGAAACAAGAGGTATAGAAAGGTAAATAAAACTAAATTGCAATGTAATAACTTAAAAGTGTACCTGTCGATTCTTCCTGTTCCTCTACCTGAAAGATTAGTACTTGCAATGCATATATATATGCAGAGAGTACATGTTTGAAGTGTGTCTACCAGACCCTATGTCATACCTTGGTGTGTCCAATTTGTTCATCTCTGGGGATAATTCCATTAAACAAATCATAATATGTCCAAGTGTCCATCAAGATTTCCAAAAAGATTCCATTTGGATCATGAAAAGGTCCTGGGTAATACCCTAGATATTTCACAGTCCCTTGAATCATTTCGAGTTCATTTTGGTTTTTTTATGTTGCTATGTGGTTCACCCAATTCATACCCTTATGTTCAATGAATCTTGATGTTTTGATTATCCCTTTAAGTGGGGTAATTATCATTTGATGCATCACTTACGAATTACACAGGTAAAGGCCCTTAGGGGCAATCTGGATTAATTAAGAAACTTAGTCTGTTTGATTTTTAAAGATGGACTTGTAGTGTTTTTAAAAAAAATGCTTCAAATTAATTATAGGTCATTTTCTAAACCTCATTAGACAAAATTTTGATTAAGCCTAATTCACTACTAAGCCCTTAAAATCAGTTAGATTTGTAATTTTTTAGAAATTTTTTTAAATATTTATACTCTTAATCCATATCAGGAATCATAAATTACTTTAAACTGCTAATTGGGGTTTTAAATTAGTGGGTTATGATCTTCCAAAATCAAACTCCCAACCTTAAGATCTCCTTATTTACTTATTCTCCGAATTTCATCAATATGAGAATTTACAAATTTATTTTTGATGAGACCAAAGTGAGATTGGTTGCTACCATTTATCTTTTTTATATTTCAATCATCTAGACATGTCAATTAAGATCATTTATTACTCATTTACCCTTTGGTTAGGTCTAAATATTACTTAAGACTTAAATTCCAAAATTATCATTTTGCCCTTAAGACCTTAACATCTCATAATTCATTAAACTAAACTCAAATGACTTTAAAACTTTATGCTACCCCACTCATGAGTTAATTAAAACATCAGAGAAGAAAATGTGATTTTTGTTGAATATGTTTAATTTTATAATTATTTTAATGCAAAAATAAGGATTTTAATGAAAATTCAATAACTCAACCACAACAAAACTTCTGTCCTTAAAAAAATTACTGGAGGTTCACCTAAATCAGAGGATCATTTGGTCCAATTTTCATGATTTTTGGAGTTCTAATTTAATTATTATAATTATTTGTTTGTTTTGATTATTAATTAAATATAAAATATTATTTAAGTGGAAAATTAAATTTTATGTTTTTATTAAATCTCTCTGAGTGCAGGGAACCCAAAGAAACAAATTTCATATTTTTGTGATTTATATTTTAATTATTAAAATTATTTTTAGTGAAAAATTAAAGAAAATTCATTTTTCAAGCCTTAAAAAAAACTAATATCTTGACTTAGAAAATTATGAGAATTATTTTAATTGGTCTCATGTGATCAGGAAGTCAAATGTGACATTTTAGTATGCTTTTACAATTTTGTAACTTTTCAGATTTTTAATTATTTAAATATTTAAAAATAGCTTAAAAAATGAAAAATTTGCTTTAATTATAATTTTATTTTTCTTAGATTCCTCTGATCATAGAGAACTCCCAAAACCAATTTGGTGATTTTTTGAGTTGTATTTTAATTTTTATAATTATTTTAATGTCAAAAATGCAATTTCACTTAATTAATTCATTTTAGCGGTCAAATTAATCCCAATTGACTTGAAATTTTTATGGGGAGTTCCTCTGACATTAAATTACAGTGGAGGATGA